GCGGGCTTTCAGAATATGTAATTAGTTTCAAAATAACTTATTTTTATAGCGACAATATATGAGAAATACAGAGTGAAACTCTTTTGTCGGGGTATATATATTGTAACACATTGATGATGTGCTTATTCTGCACATATACGAATTTCTTTATTTTTTGGTATATCCAATGATTTAATCCAAATAAAATATATAAAATAAAAGTATATGTTAAGTTGTATGATACGTGTAAGTTTGAATTTGATTCGTATTCATTATCATCAAAAATTAGATTTAAAAAAATCTGCCACAACTTATGGGACACCCTGTATTTTCGACTTTTTTTGGGCTCACGAAATTCTTTATTCGTTTCGGAATGTTAGTAAGTATATTGATAAAGTCCTATTCAAATATAATGGCTATTTAGTTGATTTCAAATCAATTCTCAAAAGACAGTTCGATCTTGTTTATTATTTTGTTCGACCGGATCAAATTGCTTCTCTTACACTTTCAGATAGTAATGCTACACCGGATCAATCTCAAATCTTTCTCTCACTTTTTCACGTTTATCAATTGACTCACCTTCGTGCATTAACATTGATCAATATTGACCAGAATTCCTTGCCAGTTTTCACCGGTTTAAATAAGCTCAAATATCTAGTCTCGATTCAAATCGATAGTATTTGTCAATTTTCATTCGAATTGACAGCAGCTCAACTAAAACGACCCATTGTTAATTCTGATCCAGACGATTATTTCAATCACGAAACACTGATTTCTCCTATTCAACTGTCTTGTTTGCATTATTTGACACTGGCACAATGTCCATTTGTTTGGTTTTATCAAATTCTTCGGCTTGGACCTAATCTCATTTCAGTCAATGTTTCAATCACACATTGGAGCTCTAGTGAAATCAATCAATTGATTAATGATGACCGAGAATCATTATTTCGAATTGTTCGTTTGAACATGTCAATTTATCCTCTAAGTAAGTCGAGAAATTGAATCAGATTATTGTTGGATCTTTTTTGTTTTCTTTGACCTGATAATTTCACGCGATTCACTTGAACGAGGGTGTGGGTGTGGGTGTGGGGTGGGGTGTGGGTGTGGGTGTGGGATGGGGTGTGGGTGTGGGTGTGTATGGGGTTTCAGTGGGGTTTGGGTGGGTGTGGATGGATGTCGGGTGTGGGTGGGTGGTGTGGGTACGGGTGTGGATTTTGTGTGGACGAGACAAAGGATACAACCACAGTCACAGTCACAGCCACAGCTACAGCCACAGCCACATACCCGACACCCACACCACCCACACTCACAGCCATACCCTCTAGAAATGTACGGGGTACTAATCGAAGTCTTGAAAAGCAAGTAAAAATCACTATTAATGACGAATAAAACAGCGTTCACTAATGATTGGTTAGACTGAGGGTTTGGGTTTCGGTGTGGGTGTGGCTGGGGTGTGGCTGTGGCTGGAGTTGGTGTGGCTGTGGGTGCGGATGTGACTGTGGATAGGGTGTGGGTATGGGTGTGGGTGTAGATATTCGTTTCAGCGAGACACCCACATCCCACCCCCCACACCCATATCCACCCACACTCACACCCACACCCCACGCACCCATACACCCACACGCCCACCCACCCACATCCCACACGCACCGCACCCCCACTCCGACACCCACACCCACATCGACCCACACTCACACCAATACCCACATCCACACTTTTCTCATAGGACTCTAAGGTGTACTCTCATCAATAGTGAATATTCACGATGCCGGTTATTTCTTGCGCTTCACATTCTCTGCTGGAGCTTTTCAAGGAGAAAAGTCCTTTTTACGCCCATTTACATATGAATGATGTAAATATTTGTTTGTTTTCATCTTTGACATTCTTTTTTGCGGCGTATCTATGAAAACCTTTCTTGAGTCATCTGTTATGACTCAGAAGCACATGGTGATGATGTAAGAATTACCTATTGTGTATTTTCCCTATGACATATGAAGTGTCACTTCCGTGTGGAGCCATCCAAACGACATGGAAAGAAATTGTTTCAAATGATGGTGCAATGTATATATTTTGCGTATAAAAGGATCGACCGATATAGTTATATTTTCATTCGGAAGAACAATTATTTCTTTATCCATTTTCGAATTAGTAAAGGTAAGCCGCTTATCCTATATATCAGAGTTTAAATCCATTGAGTTTTGCTAGTGAATTAAAGCCAATTCGTAATGAATTTTTCTAAAACTCAATAGCTAGATTCTTTTTTGATTGGATAGCTCCCCTTATTCTGATATTGTATCTAGTGTCTTTTCATTTTTTTCCTTTAGTTTATTTAATTCCACATGTATGCTTAAGGCTGCTAGACAAGTTCTAAAACGTATTTCTTTTCTTCTGCTTAATTACCATCTTATTAGACAAAATCAATAGAAAAGAAATCTTTACTAATTAGTTACAATGTGTGCTTTTTCTACATTTCAAATTTCTTTTTTATTTTAATGAAAGTGGTCAGAAACTGGTAGTGTCTATAAATTTTCTTTTTACGAAAAGCGCAAAAAAACGAATCTCTTTTTTTTATCAAAAGCATGCTTATTGACGATAACGCCTTGGAATTCGTATAATTTCAAAACATTTTTATGACGCAAAAAGTGCATATTTCATCTGATAAAAGCGTATTTTATTGATTCTGTGCGAGTGAGAGTGTAGTTGCGTACATATACGAACATATATGTAGATGGTGTGAGAGCACAGGCGGCACAAGCTCATTTTTTTAGGGGAAGCAATGCACTTTAGAACTATAATACATTAACCCCTCCCAATAATGAACAGTGCGATAACATATGTTCTTTTTAAGGCGTGATTTCTGATAGACATAATATTGGAGGATTGAGTATTAATGCATCTGACACTGACAACATATTAAGAGCTTCAAAGTAGTACAAGGCTTTTTTAAATCAGATCTATTCAAAATAAATCTGAAACGACTCTGTTTTTTATCTGTGCCTTTTGTTCACTGATCTTTCGGTTTTCTACGTGATACTAATGTAAAAGTTGACAGACATTTTGATTTTATATTTTAAAAAGTGAGTAGTAAATTTGATTAAAACAAAAACAAAAGAAATACAAAAGCCGAAGAGAAAGCTCACTTTTATTGGAACTCAGCAATAGAGAAGATTAGTGGTTACCCAGGCCGTACAGAACGGTCCATATACGGCGGTCAGCGAATAAAAAATGGGTTGTTTACGGCATTCCGTAGAATTTCGTTTACGAGCATCGTTTTACGGAATACTAATGTATAGACTGCAGAACGTTTTCGGAGCCGTTACCAAAGAGCACTGAACGCTACGTAAATAACACAGTACGCGGTCTTTTTTCGAAGCTTTTCGCCAAAAGCATCTCGTAAATATCCATATACTTTCTCACATGGGGCAATGTAGAATGGAAACGATTTTTGATAGTAGTACAGGGCCAGAGACCTCATTAGGATGATTCTTCAGACCACTACACAAACGGAACGTATTCATTTCCTATCCTGGCCGGTATCATTCTGTATTGTCTTTACACATTTCGGGTGATCCTTAGTTTTCCTGTGAGAAATCTGTAAGGACGGAAAGGTTATAGTGTCCTACTTTTTTATTCTATGTATCTGTGTACTTTCAATATAAGTTCGTCATTGTAAGGAGAATTTGAAGTAATGAAACTTTAAGGTGCACTAGACTATGTCTCGAAAGATAATTTAGCAAAAAGACCACGCAGGTATCTCTACATATAGGTCATGTTAACTATAAAAAAATGTGGTGGGTCGTAGTTATCTGTCTTATTCCTCAGCTTTATAATACCACGTCTTATTAAAGTCACGCTTTTCTCGAAATACTTTTTCCGTGGGTACATGCCGGTCATAACGCTCGACCTGAGTAGTGGCATTTCTGATACTTCACGTTGTAAAAACGGTCCGTTAACAGGCACAGTGTAACGCATCCTATTCGATGAATATATGGTCCGTTTACGATACGGATACAATACTGTTCGTATTTCTGCGCCAGATAATACGGTTAAATACAGACCGAAAACGGATCGTATTGATACTGTATACTGCCGTAAATACTCCGTTTTGACAGCATTTACGAGCTGTTTTTGGATCGTAAATGACACCGTTTTGATTGACTTTTGTATATCCCACCAATTAAATCTAGATTAACTTGATTTCAATTCTCTTGGTAGAGTAGATGTCGGATGTAAACAACCGTGGATGCATTCATCAAGATAGTAATACAAGATTCATAAAACAATGGCTAATGTATCAATCTTCCTATATTAACCTGAAAGTCGTAGAGGATCTATTACAAGTTATGTACTTTTACTCTATCTTATAAAAGAAACATGCGCAGCTTGTGGAAGCTATTGCTTCCCCTTGCATTGCTGGTGCGCCTCCCAGGCGTGAGAGTGGTTATAAAATGTGACTGAAGGAAGGTTTCATGCCGTTACTTATAGCCATTCGAGTTGATTATTTAATAACGATCGAAACTTTTTCTAATAATTGTCAATCAATCATTCCTCTTGCCATATTTTCTCCACTACCGTTAGATATTCTACGTTCCAATTTGGTCTTGGTATGTGATTAACCTTTTACAAAATTGAAAGATCCATATCAAAATATTACGTAATAATACTGAGTTCTCTCATTTCGATGATATAATCATATAGAAGTGTTCAATTTTTCGAATACAGGAAACTTACTTCGTGAGAATACCATTTTGAACAACAACTAGGAAATTTCCACAATTGACAAAGTTAATTGAAGCTCCGTATATGAACATCCTTTTTACACTTATCTACTATACAAACGCGAGATAGTAAATATGACTTGTACTTAAAAACCTTTTGTTATCGTTGATAGCGAATTATTTGAAGTTTAATTTTTGTGGAAAATCTGAAATAGAAAGCGGATGTTGTTGTTTGTTCAACTGTTATTATCGAATAAGACGATATCTCATCATCATCTTATTTCTTTTTATTTCTTTACAGTAATGGCAGATACAAAGAAAAAATTAATGTATCTATCAGAAGATGATATTATTCAAATCTTTCAAGTAAATTTAAAAAATAATGTATGACTTAATTATATTATATTGTCTATCTTTTATTAGTATATAACACAACGCAATATCGAAGATTCAAAAGCTATTATCAATCAAAACGAAAGACATTTGCAGGTAATTAATTCATTGACTTGGTATCTTTAAATCTTGAGTTATATAAAGAAATATGTGAAAAAATTCTTAGTTCTACTAATAAATAGTCCCGTAATGATTATCAGAATAAAAAGAAATCAAACAATGCTATTTGATGTTTGTTCTTCACTTGGAAAATAGCTTCCATGTCGACACACCAGCCACATGCAAATTTTTCACTCTAGAAAACGAATTTAAGTACAGATTTCAAAAGTTTTTCACGCTGAGAATACGGCTTAACGATAAAGACTCATTCAGCAATCAAAAACTATCCTACCAGAAACTTTCGAGGGATTTATAATGCTCATGCTCATAAAATTTCAATTCTATTTTATTTTGTCTAATCTACTGACACCTATCAAGAGTTTTTTCCATAGTATTCAAAGTTGCATGCAAATTTTCCATTACTTCACAGTGGAAAAATAGATACTACAGTAAATAGCAGTTTTTAGGATAGACAATAACGTAAAACTCACTTTCATGACTTATCATGCCTTGTTTTTCTCATAAAAAAGTGCATAATTGTTTCTGTTCATCGAAAACATCCTACTTTTTTATCAAGTGAAGCTTTTTTCTTCCATAGTAGTTTAACCATTATTTTGAATGTGACATTTTGTTGTTTAAAAAATATTGTTCCACTGCATTTCGACTACTGTTTGTTTCTATCGAAAAAGAATGTTTTTTAGGGTACACGCTCTATTTTAACTTGTAGATTTTAAGAGAACAGGATAAAAAGAAATGTTAATGGATATCTTAAAGAATAGGTGGTCCGTGTAAAAAAATGTTTCAGTTCGAAGACTAGAAGTGGATATTGGAATCAGTTTTAATTCCTATAATCTCTACAACTCATAGAATCGGATATTATGCAGAGTCGAAACAAAAACTAATTTCACGATACTTCTCAATATTTATCTAAGCTGAAAACTTTCACTAAGTCATCTTCGTGAAACTCTATAAATGGAGGTGGTGTGCTTTGAAGAGAAGCGTTTCGAGTATTTCAATTCTTTTTATTTTTTGATGAAACAGAGCAAGATATGTCGACAAATCATTCTGCTTCCTATCATTTTATCAATCTCTACTTTATAACTGTTGTTCGATGAAATTTAACCAAAATACAAATACTCGTGATTACACACTTAATAAAAACGTGACTTTTTCTTTCTTTTTCAGCAAGCCATCGCACATCATTTTGACGATAAAAGTATGTTTCTCACATATTTCTTTCATATTTCATCAAGAGATTTATTTAGGTTCAGGTTTATATAATAGTAGCAACTCAAAGTCAGTGATGACTAGCCTTATGATAATGCAGCAAAACGATAGAGTTCTTGCCGAATACTATGCAAAAGTTCAGCAAGAAACAAATGGCGATGAGGCTGCCATAGAAAAAGTAAATACTTTACTGAAGCAATAGAAAAATAACAACTCTTTGACGCTTTTTAAATTATTAGATATTGGCTAGTATCAGAGTTATGGGGGAACGCAAAAGAATTGGACTTGCTGCTCATAATGAAAAGAAATCAGAATTGATTGAATGTCTTAAAAAACACCGCAAGGTACTAGTTCAACATAAACTGTATGCGACGGGTACGACAGGGACATTGGTTGAGAAAGAATTGAATATACCTGTAAGAAAGTTTGAAAGTGGTCCTTTGGGTGGCGATCAACGGCTTGGAGCAAAGATTGCTAAAAACGAACTTGATATTCTCATCTTCCTCATTGATCCATTGAGTCCTCATGCTCATAATGCTGATGTCGAAGCACTTGTTCGATTAGCTCAAGTGTACAAAATTCCTTGTGCAACGAATGCTACTTCTGTTGACTTTTTACTTACGTCGAGTATGATGAGCGAATCCAGTGTACGAACAATTCCTGTAACTGGATATCCACAAGGTAAATAAACAACGTGACTTAATTCTCAAAAGTATCTCTCATTAATCTGATATTTAATGAATCATACAGCACTGAGTGTATCGCATGTTTTTCAGTTTGTTGTGTTTTACATTTTTCTTTGTGCAAGAGTTCAGTTTACAAAATTATTTTTGTCAGAACAGATATGATCGAATTTTTCAAAACACATAAAAAGAAAATTTATTTTACCTATTATGATATTAGGGTGTGGGTGTGGGTGTAGGTGTGCGTATGGGTGTGTGGGTGTGGCGTGGGTGTGGGTGTAGGTGTGGATGTAGGTGTGAGTGTGGGTGGGGTGTGGGTGTGGGATGTGGGTGTGAGTGTGGCGTGTGTGTGTGTGTGAATGTTGAATATTAGCGCAACCACACCCACACCCTAGTCCACAAAACAAAAGAGTATTACCCTTATATAACATTTTTTTCTGATATTGTTGAAACATATCAATCAAACGGCAATACGATTAAGATTTTTTATCATCATGAAGACTAAGCAATAAGAATCTGTTGAATCTATTTATCATGTTAGTTCGACAGTCGATTAAATAAAATACTTTTTATGAAGGTGAAGTCTTTGTCACTTGTTAACAAATTTGATATAATAAATATTCAATGTTATCAAATATCATTTATACTAGATACTCAGATTACTCAAGCAAGTTATTTCATAAATAAGAAAGCTAATTTCATTTACTTTCTCTCACAACACGTTTAAAAACAATAAAAACGTTAGGATATTAATTGTTTGAATAAGGATCATGTGTCTTTTCTGTTCGTTTTTCGTGAAAGTCTAGCTGATTTTCTTGTGTGTGATGAATTTTCGTTTTCAAATGACAATAACGTTCGTTTCGATGTACTTATGACCAAGTTCGTTTCTGTCATATCTTCTACATCAACAACCGACCGGGCATCAGAAAAATCTAGCTCTAAATCAATAGCATGCTATTCATGAAACTCTTCATCTTCTGTGTTATTTTCGCTAGCATATTCTTCAGTGGTAGTAAGACTAATGTCTGCAAGGATATACGGTTAAAGATTATTTAACTGGCCTTTGCTTGTCTGTTGTCGAGAGAAGGATGATCGAATTGTGCTGACTCTAACAAATTCAGAAACATCAAAAAGATATAGCCCTGTTGCTGAATTCTTGCTGTATTTCATTTAATTGACTACTACCTCAGGCGGCCATCGTATTCCATGCACTTGTCCGTCATCGAATTTTTTCTTAAGAATTGTCTTAATTTCGCAGTGACATTTTTCACTTTTCACGTTAGGGGTAGACATCAGCCTTGGATAAGTGATACTATCTGAGTATAATTATCCCGATTGAAACTGATTCTCTCTAGCTCAAGTGATAAAAGCTCTCGATTATCGACTGCGTCAAGCTTGGACTTGTAAGTGATTCAGAAAAAAATGTTATATAAGGGTAATACTCTTTTGTTTTGTGGACTAAATTTGAATACTTCGTGCATTTTTTAATTATTTTTTTGGGTGCATCTTGTGCAGTTTTTTTCGCTCTATCGAATCCATAAGAAATAAAAGTCGGCTCGCATAGTTTTCGATATTTTTTTCCAGTGAAAACACTGAAAAAACAATGCACAATTTTCAAAATAATATAAACAGTTTTGTAGAATGAAACTCGCTCTATCTTTTGAGATATTCCTAGTAAAAATAAGAACAATCGAAAAATAAAATATGATATTTATTTTTAGAGCTTCATCGAGAGATGTGCCTTGTTTCTTTCATATCTATTCGAAAGTCGATCAGAGAAGGCTAAAAATTTGAATTTATAGCTTTTTTATATGCTCTCTCATTTGTGATGATAAAAAACATATGTCAAAATTTTTCATATGACACCATTTTAGGAAAATGCTCTAGCCAACCATGGACCGTCTCTTAAACATGTTGTTTGAGCTGTTTAGAAAAGTGTAAATGTGTATCATTATATGATATTCCAAAAAAAGAATTTTGTGACAAAGTGAACATTGGAGAAATAACGTTTGAACAAGATTTATTAAATGTTATTATTTATTTAGATTTTCAAATCTGTTCTCTAAACTATTAAACGCGACAAAAATCGTATAAATATCTTTTCCATATATAAGACACTTTGGCAGGGATTGCAATTCAGTTGAAGAATAAATATGCTTGGAGAAGGAAAATTTTATTTGAGAAAAAAAAAATAGTGGCACGTATTTTTGAGTTTAGTTCTGCGTTTTTTGTTTTTGATTAAGTTCGATGGTCGCTGCTGCTTTTCTATTTCTTGTTTCCATGAGAAAACGATCATTTGTTGTAGGTATTGGTCCAATTCTATTGTCTAATCTGCAGCAGCGAACAATAAGTTTTCCCAAATGAGATTGAGTTTTAAATGATCGAAAATATGTTTCAGAAGGTAAAATAAAAAGCAAAAATGTCGACGCTTGAGGTATATAGATAATCAGATTGACTGCTGTATTTAATCTTAATAACCATTTAAGAGATGCATCGACACATGAGAATAACATTATCAGTGTCAATTGAGGTAAAATGCAAATCTTAAAAAGAGAATTAATTTATATAAAACAATTCGAATAGAATGACTTACCATAGCTAATGTAGGTGCCAAGAAAAGATGACGATGACGACGAAAATGTCTCATCCATTGATTCCAATGAGATGTTTGATGAAGAGTAGCTTTTCGGCGACTAATTAAAGTAAGAATCAAACAATTGGCGAACATATCTAATGAAAATGGCACAAATAAATGAACAAATGAAAATATTGTATTCATGGTCAATAATGATGATGGATATTTTATTTGACAAATATAATTTCCTTGAAGAAGTGGATCACTAACTGATACTCGATAAATCAATTCGTGAATATGCATAAAAAATATACTAATTATCACAATAAAGATATGTTTTATTGCAAATGATCGTGAACGAATTTTATTTATCCAATGATTTGCTTCAAATGATTGAAGTGAACGTTGAATTGCAATAAATCCATTCATCCATAAACAAATTCGAGTAGTTATTGATGCTAGACCAGATACAACATTACAGATAATAAAAGATGCAGCATAAGAAAATGAATTTAGCATTCGAATAAGACGACATTCAACCATTGTTAAACCAAAAATTGAACAACAACTATAAACAATTAAATATAATCCAACTGTACTTGATCTTACTTCTCTTTGTCTGAGTGTATCAATAGAAAATATATTCGACATTATACCAAATACAATCATAATTGTTACACTAAATGCATAAGCAAATGTCATTAACTGTTGTTGATCAATGCTCCTTCCACGAATATCTGATGTCATTCCAGATACCAAACCAAGAAGAAATATATTGATTGAATTGTTACAACTCATCTTTTTTTTATCAAATATATCAAAGTCAATTTGAATTTACTTGCAACAATAACAACAATATCTCAACTCAATTTATATTTAAATGATGGAGATATATAGCTCATTAAAAGATTACTTCAAAGCATATTTCAAGCACGTCAATCAATTAAAGCATCTAATGAGATTTATTCTTTCATTTTAACTTTATTCATTCTGTATTGTAAGGACAACTAATCAGATTTAATCGAAATTTCTATCAGCTCTTCTACAAATTATTTCTCATACAGAATTTATTTTATATTTTATTACCTGAAACTCATTTCGGCTTAGACGCACTAATCTACTTACAACAAAATCTCATCAACGATAACAGTTTCTCATAAGTAAATCTATTAAAAATTTATTTTTAACATTGAAATAATGTGTCGGTCATATAGATCTTTATCTCAATATCTCATTAATATTCATTTTTGAATTAATATTAAAAATCGTTTTCTGTATGGAGATAGATATTCTTCATCTCATTTAATTACTTACTTTATCAATATAACCGTCAACGACGTCATCACGATAATAAATATACAATCATATCGTAGAAACTTTGCTCTTTTCACGCTTTTGGCTCGTGTTCTTAAATATAATATCCAGTATGATGGATAATCATGCATTTTTATTCCATTGGCTTATTTATATATAGAATATAATGAAATAATCTTTCAAAAAGAAATTACAGCGGGGGCCAATTGAATTTCCCCCTTTTTTTTTTTTTTACTTTTTATTACTATGTGCCTTTCATGTATTAATTTGTTCTATATAGGAAGAAAGCCTGAAACGCGCTGCATCTTTTGGTATATTTATGTTGAACAACAGATACAATTTAA